ACATTTTTTTAAAATAAAATTCCAACTAAAAATACATTGTTTTCGAGCATAGTTTTGTTAAAAATAATTAAAATTTGTCGGTTCGCAATCATAAAATATTGATAATCAAATACACAAAAATTGTCTGTATATTTGGAGGGTAATATTATGACAAAATCTACCTAGGTATGGTAAATAATATATTAGGGTAAGAGCACACAATTATATGCCATTTCGATTCTGGCAAAATACTAAAATAGATATGCGACTTTCAAGACTTATCGCGATACATACGTGTTTGTGTGATTCGCCACTTGGGCAGTTCACTTGGAGCTAGTGAGTGACTTCAATGGGTACTAAAGCTTTCCAAGAGGCTTTTCGGAGATTTTGGTCAAGGCTCGGATATTGTACAACAATTATGGTGCGACAATAGAGATAATTTCGTAGGAGTCAATTAAAGTTAAAGGAGCTCGCGATTTGTTCAGTTCTGAGGAACATCAGGCAAGAGTGCAACGATTATTATCTAAGGCTTTTTATTGATGTTATTATTTTTAAGTAAGTTATGATCATTTTAAAATGTACAGTTTCAAAAAGGTCATAACATACTACAAAATAGTAATATCAATAAAAGGCTACGTAATAATCTTACATTTAAGTGTTATAATATAGGTAATTTCATCCAATATCAAAACTAACAGCACCCTATTGAAACTGTTGATCTAAAATTTGCCATATCGTACCTGTGAAATCAACTCTTAGACAACAAAGTGGGTACGACGTCCTCATAAGTGGTTTATATTTATGTAAATTTGATTACGTATTATTATTTTTTTTTTTAATGTCTATTGGTCGCAACTATTTTATTTGTATTAATTAGTGATCAGCAATAATAATATTATTATTGAATTATTATTTTTTAATTATCAATCATTGTGTTACAATTTTAGTACCTATAGGTAATGTAGTTTTTGCTGGTACTTTCCACAATCGTAAAATGTCGAGTGGTGTGTTGGAGCCAAGAAAATTAAATAATATTGTCACTGGTAGAGACTAGAGAGTAGACCGGTGCAAAATAAAGTAATTTAGATATTATGACGTTGCTCGCGTGACTCCGTCGCACTATGTATAGTTACTCATGGATATTCTTGTCTCTAAGAATTTTAGTCATGACAAAGTATATAAGTATGTCAGCAACATTGTGAAACTCATATCCCATACTTTGTACAGTGTTAGAGCGTTCTCCGTCTCTCATCGGTCGCATATACCAAAGATCGGAATACGTATTATATAGAAAAAAAAGGGATGCGCAAGCAAGATTCAAATTTGTAGTGTTGCTGACAATATCTTATTTAATAATGACCTACCTATATATAATATATATTATATTGACATGCTTTTAGTAGCGTCATAGCTAATTGACAGTGCACACCGAGAGCATTAAATTATTGCTAATAATTATATTAGGTACTGTACATTTATTCTACGTACCCATTCACTTTAAACAATCTTATACCAAAGTACCTACTACGGATTATTATAAATAAATTATAGTTTTGAACTATTTAGAGAAATTTGAAATAACAATTTTTTTTTCTATAAATGGCAATAAAATATCGTAAATTTATTTAACGTTCCTCATAAGTTATTATAATAACAGTAAAAAAATATTAAAGATACTTCGTCATGACTGTTTTTATAGTCATTTAAAATTCAAAAATTGACAAAATTCATCAAAATCTCAAAAATGTTGAAGAATATTTTGAATTTAAAAATGTATAAAATGTTCAGTTTTCATAGCTGAGAATTGAAAATTTGAAACAAGGTTTTTTTAAAACATATATAGTTACTGCCTCCAACAAATTTAAACAGTATACAAACACAATTTTCAATAGATATTTTAAGCTAAAATTATACTAGAATATCGATTTTATAGTTATTTTGTTTCGATTTAAAAATATTATTATAGTATAGGCTGACTGACGATTAACAAACCGTCTCCGCTCAGAATCGTTTTTAGTAATAATATTACATCATTGTATTCAAATTTAACACCATCCATTAGAGACATTTATAGTGACCCACACGACACCTATTGTGTAGCAGACTGGTATAATAACAGTAGCAACAATATGATTTAACATGGGTCATTTATTTTGAAATTGTTTCATCGCGTCACTGCAGTATTGGCTGCAATGTTAGGTACCTAACGTGTGTTAGGTACAAACGTGGATATTTAAACTGTTGTTAGATGCTCTAGCTAGCTGTTACAACGGGACCCTAATTTTTTTTAACCTTTTAATTTTTATTCATTTTAAAAGTTATATTCAACAAACGATGTACTAATTTTCAGCAATACAAAATAACATATGACAAACACTTAACGCGAAAATGTGCTAAATTGCTATATTCAAGTGGTAAAGTGGGAGCTGTAGATACGCGTAATACAGTTCAAAAAAAAAAAAACATTAGCCTTTATACCAATGCTATACCTATCAGGTACATTGTACATGCGCTATACTATGCAATTAGGTAATAACTATAATAATTACGAATTTTTAGTGTGATCACGAATCATGTATAGGTACACAAATAACTTTGAAATTACAGCCTATAAAACGACAAGGATATCGACACCAATTAATAGTTCATTCAGATGGTAAAAACACAAAATAACCATAGTACTATAGATAGGGTGATTCCAGGTTAGGTTACCAATAGCAGCGACCAACGACGCCCTAAGCGATTTTTGTTGTTTTTTTGTTTTTTGAATGTTGGTTCATCGATCTTCGCTCCTAGGTGGAAACGTACCCAGCGATAGGGAAAATCTACTTGGTAGCGAAGAAGGGCGCATCCCAGGATGCCTATTGCAGTAAAACTACTTTTTTTTTGCACAATAAACGATGGGGATCAGGGGAGAAGCAATGCCAACACCAGAACTCTTCTCCGGTTCTCGATAACAAGGGGAAAAAAAGAAAAGATAGGTTGTAAATGATGCACGAATAACCTGCAACTATTATGGTTCTATTACATAATAAAATGTTCATGGAAGTGTAACCCAGTAAATATTAAAATTAGATAAAAGTTTAAGTTATATTTTGTCACGCCATAAAAAACTACTTTAACAACAGTTATTTTATTATTATTTCTTCTGAAAATATTAGCTTAATATTATGACAGTTTTCAGTAAATTCATAGTCGTAATGTTAATGTTTTTAACGAGTGAAATGGAGTAACAACTAATAAGCTTAATAACTTTATTTGGGCTGTATAGTAATTTCACAGAAAAGTTTCCAGTGATAAAAGTATTAACTGACCTATTTCCTCTGGGACTTTTCGGTTTCATTTAAAAGGAAGGTAGGTTGGTATTATAGGTACCTATACTTTGATTTTTCTTAGTAATTCCCTTGTATTAAATGTAGGACAGTATTATTAAATGCATAATATAATGAGACTTTTGTGTACTATATTATTATAATACAAAATTATTTATGTATCATGGAGTTGTTATTACAGATATTAATAAATAGGTATATTGTTCGATTGTAAATAATGTTCAATAAAATATAAAAATAAACAAAATATTAATAATAATAATATACCGAATATCAACGAGTTAAATAACTGGGGAAATAAGCTAACTAACTTAAGTTATAAAAATATGTTTGTAGAGACATATTTGAAGTCGGCTACTTTTAGTTTAAACGATGGCTATTAATATTAGAAGTATCATATTACCACAATATGTTTGGTGAAAATGAACTTCACTGAAACAAATGTGCACACATCTACTATACATAAATGATAAATTATAAATTAATTGGTACCTACTTAAAATAATATTGGGGTTTTAAGCAGGAAGCATATTAAATGATTGTTTGCTCATTAAAAAAATACCTAGGTGCACTTAAATTAGTAGTCTAAATACTAATCATTAGTCTGCATATGTGACTTATTAATTAAAATAATTCATGAGGATATTCTTTAACACACAGGTCAAAGATGCAACCATATACACATACATGAAATAAATAAATTAAAACAAAATACAAATTAGAATATCTTGTAAAAATACCAATGTTTAAGAAAATGTTTGTTCATTCTGGCTTTCAGTAATATTATGAGTCTGTGTTAAATATATTTTACGTTTCAGAATTTGATTGTTGTTAATCTATATATATAATACATTTAATAATAGGTAACTTACTATAAGCTATAACCAGATATACCTACTTTCCCATTAACAAACAGAACAAGTTATATCACAACTTTATACTATATTATGATTCTAGAGTTTAAAATAAGAGTATAGGCCCATATATAATCATTTAAACTAGGGCTTACGATTTCACGTGTACTTAAATACACGGGTACACGTGTAATTATGAAACCCGTGTATTGATCCGTGTATTTAATGTTACACGTGTATTTAATATAACACGTGTATTTAATATTACACGTGTATTTAATATAACATGTGTATTTAATATTACACGTGTATTTAATATAACACGTGTATTTAAGGGCTTGAAACCGAAAAAAAATTCCGATTTCGGTTTCGGTTTTGGATACCAGTTTTGATTTTTTCCGATTTCTGTTTCGGTTTTGGATACCGGTATTAATTTTTTCCGATTTCGGTTTCGGTTTTTAACGGTTTAAACAGGTGTTCAAAATCGGTAACGAAAATAGGTTTCAAGCTCTGTTTAATATTACACTTGTATTTAATATAACACGTGTTTTTAATGATATATAATAATTGATAATTTATTATAAATGTTAATAAATTTAGCATATAGAAAAAAACAAATTTAACAGTAGGTAATAAATAATAAATATACAATATTAATAGAAGATATTAGTCTCACATTCCAGTCTTAGATAACATAATAACATTATAAATTATAATTAATATTATACAAAAAACATTAACAACAAAACAAATAATAATAAACAATAATTATAATAATTTGTATAAGGTTATAAATATATTAATCAATTAAATGTCTATTTTGATACAAAAAAACTTACGTGTTTACATTTTCTGGTAGTAAGCAGCTCCTTTTTGGTGTAACAATATTTCCGGCAGTTGAAAAACATCTTTCAGAGCTGACTGATGTAGCTGGTATTGTGAGATATTTCTTCGCACATTTGGAAATGATTGGATACTTGATTGTTCTTGTATTCCACCACTCAAAAGGATCCAAATCAAATCTTAGTTGAGGTTCAGCCAGATAACCTTGTAATTGTGTTTTTGGATCATTTATATCGATCATTTCGTCACCGTATAGGAACTCCATGGCACTTGTATGTGAATTTTTTGAATGTTCCGTAACTGAAACCTGTGGATAATTAGTTTCAAGTATATTTTGCAACTCTTTTCGAATATCATCTCTTGAATCAAGTGACTCATGTTCTAAGTCCTTATACCTTGGATCGAGTAAAGAAGATATTTGACTTAGGCTTACAGTACTTGAGGATGTCCATTCGAGATTAAAACGGGTTTTTATTTGTGTTATAAGTGATTGCTTGAAATATATTTCAATATCATCTTCAGTGTCATTTATTGATAAATGTTTTTCTATTACTTTTTGTAGTAATGGTCTGACCATTGAAACGGGAGAATGCTTTTCATCACAAAATAGTTGCGTTATTATTTGTAGTGGTTTGAGTTTTTTGATAAGAAATTCTACCCTAGCCCATTGGCTCTCTGTAATTTCAAACTTTTGTGCCATAGTTGCACTTGTAATAGCTCGATCAGCTATGACGTTAGCTAATGGAGATCGATTAAGGTATAGACGTTCTAACATCATGAAGGTGGAATTCCAACGTGTCTTACAGTATTGAATCAAAGCCGTTTTTGCCATACCAAGCTGTTCTTGTTTCATTTCTAATGATCGTTTCGCTATATTTGAATGTTTAAAATGAGAAACAAGTTTACTACATTTTTCAATCAATAATTGAATATTATCTTGCCTTAGCGAATGGTTGATAGCAAGTTGAAGTGAATGAGCTGCACATGTTACACTGCTAATGTTTGTATCGCTAGATATTAAAGAAATGGCATTAACAATGTTCCTAGCATTGTCGGTGACAACAGCTATGACTTTACTGTTAACTTCCCATTCATTAAATGTATTTCCCAATTGAATTGCTAGATTCTCAGCTGTATGGCGTTCTTCCATTTCATGCGTGCTAAGGGTATAAGAGCTAACGTTCCAATGTAAATCAATTGTATGAGCAGTTACGGTAATATATGAATCCTGAGATAACGAAGACCAGCCGTCAGTTGTACAAACGATACTTTTTGTCTGATGTAGATTTTCCCTTATTTTTGTTTCAACTAACTTTTTTAATCTATTTATTCTAGCTTTCATTGCTTCTTGCTTACAAACTTTATAATTGGGCTCAACGACAGCCATAAAATTTTTGAATCCTATGCTCGAACAAAATGAAATTGGTAGTTGATTCATTGATATTAATTTTGCTAATGATTCATGAATCAGTTCTCTTCGTTCGTTACTGCACGCAAATTTAGATTTTTGAACTTTCAATACATTAGGTCTTTTGCGTTTTCGACTAACTGGTGACTTATGTTCAACATTTGAGTTAACTGGACCTTCCACTTCACTTATGCCATCAGAGTCATCATTTTCTGCGAAATCGGAAGATGAAGGTAAAGGTAATGTAGAGGTGCAGGTCGATGAACTTGAAGTTGATGAACTTAAATCACAAATTACATAATTTTTCGAATTAATTGGTTTAAATTGGTTACCATTCTAACAAAATTTAATGCCATGTTTTATGTAAACAGTTTATAATGTTACCAAAAAATCAGAAAAAAATATTCAAATTATAATTTTT